TCTCTGACTCCTGAGTGCTGGGATCAAAGGTGTTCACCTCCATGCCTGACTGATTCCTAATTCTTTTGCATAAGTTTATATCTCTCTTACCCCTAGCAAGCCCTTGCTCTCCCAGGGGCCAGGCCTGAAACCAAACATCTGTTCCCAGCTCACCATTACCATTCTTTTACACTTGGCATTCAGATAAACTCTACTTCAACTTTGGATTCTCCCAACTTGTCCCTGATGCAGACAGACAATGAATGTGTGTGCTCAGAATGCCAAGGGAAGGGGAGGGCAGGGCGGGAACGAGAGGAGGAGGAGGAGGAGGAGGAGGAGGAGGAGGAGGAGGAGGAGGAGGAGGAGGAGGCAGAGTGAGGAGGACGGACTGGCAGGAAGGCAGGAAGAGTGATGTGAAAAGCCCCAGTCTTTTCAGGGTGTTCCCTCGGCGTTTTCTTTGGATGGTTAGACGTTCTCTATCTAGCCACAGGCTTTTACTTAGCTCTCATTTTTTAACATCCACAAACATAAGTGTAGCACCTCAATTTTCTTCTAAAGTAGAGTCAAAGAGCGTCATAATTTGTGTACGGCTCCTGCGCTGTGTACACATAATTATTGCAGACGCTGAGTTGATGTAAAGTATGGTGTTTTCATCTATCCCACCTTCCCTTTGTGTTTCTGGAAGTCACTATGGCTAGAGGCGTCGGCCACTACGCTGCAGGACACTCATTTGAAGAGCAGTCATTTAGCCTGGAAAGAACCCCTTGTTCGTGTCTTTCAGCTCTAAATGGAAGGAATTCATTTTTAAGCTTTGTTCACGTCTTGCTTAGCTTTAAAGCTTCATATCCCCAGGGTCTTTTTTTTTTTTTTTTTCATGTTGCTTTGCATGTTGCTCTGTGGTCCTATAAATTCCTGCATGGGCATCCTTTCTCGGTCCCATGGAAAGCCTTACATGGGGTTGGATGATTGCCAGGTTCCACGTTAGGAAATCTCCACAGTATGAGTATGAGGATGTGTAGCTTTACATTCAAGCTAGTAAGCAGCGTGAATGCCACACAGCATGCCCCGCATATGCACGCCACCCATCTCGCCAAGGGCTGCCTTGCCTTGCAAGAGTGTACTGGTCCAGGCCCCGGGTGCCCTTCTCTTCTGCCTCCGTCATATCCAGGCTGAAGCTGTCACTGCATTCAAAAGCTGCTGGGAGCTCATTGATGGAACTCGAAAGATCATCTTCGTGCACGGTGGTGTCCTCCTCTTCGGGGACAGCTTCCGCCTGCAGGGACAGAATTTGAAACCCCAATGTATAAGAATATGTAAGTAGAAAACAGGATTCACTGAAGCAGAAATAGAATCCTGAAAGGGACGGAAATGGGGACCTTTATTTTCTAGAACAGCATTCAGAAATTCTCTGAAGTATCCCTTCTCTACTGTCTTCCTTCCGGTCCCTCCCGTAATCATCCCCAAGGAGCTCTGTAGATTATCACATTTGATCTGTGTCTGTGGTCTACACATGCTAGCTTCGATATGGTCAGAGAAAGACCTCCCTCCCTCCCTCGTCTAGCTTCCATGTTTACAGCTTAGCAACCTCTGCTTCACGTGCAAAGTATTTGCTCAATGTCAGGTTGGCCACTGGGGTGGGATGTGGAAGAGAAGCTATTGCCTTGGTATTCGTAAGAACTCAGCACCTCCAGAATAGCTGGTGTGTGTGTGTGTGTGTGTGTGTGTGTGTGTGTGTGTGTGTGTGTGTGTGTGTGTATGTGTGTGCTCATGCCTGGACCTGGGCCCGGAGGCCTGCCTCACGGGACCACTGTAGTTTTCAAAACCAGAAAGAAGCCAGACACAGATAAACTTTGATTGTCCAGCCCCAGCCTTAGAGACAGGCACGCACATCCAGGCCTATTCTCCAGTAGGACATCCCTCTTCCAATAACGGCTAGACTGTGGAAGCATTGGTGCATGGCACAGAAGAATCTGTAGTGTGCCCTCTGGGGTGACAGGCTTTCTCGTACAGAAGGCACGCCACCACTCACCTGTGTGTGTGCTTTCCTGTCGCTACCCTCTCAGGGCAGTGGCTGAGCTGAGAGTGTGACTCTTCCCTCACCTCAGTGCCATCACTAAACAGTAACGAGGGACCGCTCCAGGGCAGCGGATCTTGGGTTGGTGGGAGGCAGGGAAGAGATACAGAGAGTCTAATGGGAAAAAGAGAGGCTGGGCTTGAGCTGAGGCCAAGGAGGAAGTCAACTGGAGAACAGACTGTTCTGTGAGAGGAAGGAAGGCCACTGGACCACACATCAGAACAGCAGAGGAAGGAAACACATGTACGTGGTGCTGTGAGTCATCTTAAAACAAAAACAAAATCAAGCTGAAATGGAAGTGTCTGGGAATGAGACCCTTACCATGGGTTATCATCTGGCTAATGGTTTATAGTATTCCGAATTTAGGATTAATGAGGAGAAATTAGCCAGAATGTCAGAGCTGTATTAGACAGGACAGGTCATGTCTCTGAAGATGCCGAGTTCTTACAGATGAATCTTTGTTTTCTCTAGCATCGTAAGTATATCAAATACTACAGAAATTTTGGTCATGGGAAAACAGATGTCTTTAGAAATAAGATCTAATGTTTTCTTGATAGAATTAGATTGTTTTTCTTAAGAGAAATCAATTAATCAATCTATCTACCTACATCTCTACTAGCATTTACAAGAAAAATGGAAAGAATGTACTCATGCCTAGAAATAGCACATCATATATATTTTATGATGTTTTCCCAAAAAATTTAACTTAAAGTGTTTTAACCTTAGGATTCTAGTATTTTTGACTGTAGAACAAGATTTTTTGGGGGGTGGGGAGGTTTTTTTTGACCAAAAAAAGGGGGGGCATTTCTATCTTCCAGAATCCTAATTATAGTCCTTATTCCCCCCCCTCCCCGAGACAGGGTTTCTCTGTAACTTTGCGCCTTTCCTGGATCTCGCTCTGTAGACCAGGCTGGCCTCGAACTCACAGAGATCTGCCTGGCTCTGCCTCCCGAGTGCTGGGATTAAAGGTGTGTGCCACCACCGCCTGGCTATTCTCCCTTTTGAGTTGGGGCAATTTTAGAAAAAATTTTTATTTAAGCTCGAATATTTTTAGTTAATTGCACCTAAGTGGTTGCTGTTGGTTTAGAGCATTTGGGGAGTTCTTCATTTCAGATCTGTTTTTAGTGTATTTAGTGTATTGTAAAATTATATAGAAAGTGTTATAGTTTTCCTTTAGAAGTAACACACACACACACACACACACACACACACACACACACACACACACACACATACACACACTGTTTTCTTTTCAAAGTTGCAAAAACATGGCCAAAATGAGGATCAGGAATGACTAATTCTAGCCTAGCTGTGATAGACTATTTTGGTATTTCTTTTTTTTTTTTAAAAGATTTATTTATTTATTATGTATACAGAAGAGGGTGCCAGATCTCATTACCGATGGTTGTGAGCCACCATGTGGGTGCTGGGAATTGAACTCAGAACCTCTGGAAGAGCAGTCAGTGTTCTTAACCGCTGAGCCATCTCTCCAGCCCCCTGGTATTTCTAATTATGAAGAAATAAAGTTTTATACTAAAGGGCATATGTGGATTATAACATACAAGTGGATGGTTTTATGGACAGGATATTTTCTGTGAATTTGGACAAAATAAACCTTAAATAAAATATCCATAGACCCTTTTGTTTTAAAGCCAACCTTTTAAGATAAGGAAATTATATGCATTAATAAAATATCCATAGACCCTTTTGTTTTAAAGCCAACCTTTTAAGATAAGGAAATTATATGCATTAGGAAACTCTTCTCCTCGGGGAGTCTAGCTAGGAGAGGTTTATGCAAATCTGGCATAATTCTGTGTGATTGACACTAAATATTCCTATCATGTGCCAAAAGGCAAGCATGGAATCAATGAGCAAATTGTATAATTGGTTCCTACACAAGAAAAAATTCCCCCCAGTGCATGCACCTCCTACACCTCACTTAGCGTATTGTTTCATAAAAGCGCCACACTCTCCCAGTCACAACGATCTCTCTCCACCACTTGGTTTCGCCATCAGTCAGAAGTCAAGTATGTCATTTTATAAAGGCCTCAGGCCAAATCTCTCAACCAAAGGGGAGTCGACTCAAGTCTGTGAGCATAAAAAAAACTTCAAAGCCCTGGGGCAGGTGCACAAGCCTCAATCATTTCACTAAAATCCTAGGAGGAAAGTCCCCCCAACTCTGAACCTCCCTCCTCTAAGAATTCTTAACTAGGAATTTGTTTCTTTTTCCCACTCACTTAAGGAAACTACAATAAAAATTCCCCAAATCGCTTCACCTTTGACCCCTCTGAAATCTGCAGGTTGTTCATATCAGGCAAAGAAGCCTCGAAGCTTGCCATTCTGGTGTTGAAGGAATGGGGGTCGGCGGGGGTGGAGTCACAGGCGGTGGTGAGCAGTTCCATAGGGTTGGCCTCCTCGGAGGGAGAGAGGTTCATGATCTGTTTGGAAAGCAATGGGAAGAAAACATAACATGATGTTCCTATCAAAAGAACACAAAGCATTACTCTGCAGGTGTTGGTTGACAGGTATGACTCTTCCAAGTTCTACACGACATTGTTATTGGACCATGAACATAGCAGTGGGCAACCCCGTAGGAATGTGGCCTCGTGGCACCATCTGCCACCTACGGAGAAGAGGTCACTTAGACTCCCCCTGAGAGTTCAGATTTCAATTCAGCAGCCATAGAAAGTGTATTTAGCTGGAAACAAAACTCCTGAATTAATTACCAAAAACGCAAAACAAAACCCGAGGCTTCCCACTTCTCCAGTGGGAGCGTCCCTACTTACAAGGTCTGAATGTTCCAGGATCTGGCTGGCTGTGAGGTCCTCCTCCTCGGATGACTCATCTGAATCCTCATGGTTCATTTTATTCAGGCTGGGAGTACTTCTCGAGAGCTGGCGCTCCTCCAGGATCTGCATGTCACACTTGTCCAGACTGTCCAGGGAACGCCTGCGCACTCCCCAGTTGAAGTTGTCCATACTCTCTCCCTGAAATCACACCACAGTCGGCTTTTCACGCCCCAGCCCTCTGGCACTCCTGCCATCACACGGTCAGTCCCAGCTCAGAAAAGAACGTGGTCAGCATCAGCTAACTCTCACGTCCTCACCTGCTTTGGTACCCAGACTTCAGTTTACCAACGAGAGGAGACAAAAAGGCAGACCTTTTCTGTAAATGTGTGTTATCTCATGGGTACAAGTGGTGGCACTCTTCTCTTTGGTATATGGGTTTTTTTTTTTTTTTTTTTAATTTTTTGAAACAGGGTCTCACTGTATAGCCTTGGATGGCCTGGAACTCACTTTTGTAGATCAGACTGGCCTCGAACTCACAGAGATCCACCTGTCTCTTTCTCTCTCCCAAGTGCTGAGATTAAAGGCATGCACCACCACACCCAGCAGGTAATGTATATATTTTTAAAAGTTGATTTTGGTAAACCCTAGAAAATTATTGTGTTTTCAAAAATCTGTCTAAAAAAGGAGACTATTAATATTAAAATAACTTTAAAATTAGTGTACACTCCCTTCTCCCACCAGCCCTGTTTAGTAGAGTTTTCAGAAGGAGAAACAAGTTTGCTCGAAGCACATTCCAGAATTCCTTGGCTATTAAGTAGAAGAGCATTAGGTAAACATCCCAGACTGTCTGCCACAGCAGATTCCACAGATAAAATGCAGAGTTAAAGGCTTGTGAGAGCCAGACAACATTTTGGCGGGCCATGCACTACGCTGAAGCTGCATCCTGGCTTTTGCTTAAGGCTCAGCTTTCCAATCATCCCAAGCTGGGAAGTGGTTAAATTTCTTGCCTTTGCATCAAAGACTTCCTGCTGGCTTACCCATTCTGACTTACTGAGAACAGGCCTAGCTGGACATGGGAGTGTTAAAGCCTGGAGTTCTACCTCAGATCTCTACAAAGCATCAGCTATTAAATAGGTCTGTTTGGCTAACATAAGTCTTTTTTTTTTTTTCTGCAGAAATGAATATGGGATTTGGTTTTCTGTCTCATAAAACAGGGCTGAAGGAAGGTATCCACCCTGATGATGCACAAATTGTCATCTGAGTGAGAATTAGCATTCCACCTCGAGAAGCAGTCATCTGAAACGCGGCCTGACAGTTGCTAAAGTAAAGCGATGCTTCCGAGGAGAGGTCAGCAGACAGCGGAGAAACCCGAGAGCCGCGAGTGAGCCTTACGTGAGGTGAGCGGGAGGCTGATTTCTCCTCCCTGCCCAAGTCTCTTGTTCCTGACTCCAGATAAGACGGGCCTGTCCGTGTCAAAGTCCTCAGTGTGACAGTCCTCAGTGTAACAGACCTGTCCTCAGTGTGACAGACCTCAGTGTGACTGTCCTCAGTGTGACAGTCCTCAGTGTGACAGACCTGTCTTCAGTGTGACAGACCTCAGTGTGACAGTCCTCAGTGTGACAGACCTCAGTGTGACAGTCCTCAGTGTGACAGACCTCAGTGTGAAAGATCTCAGTGTGACAGTCCTCAGTGTGACAGACCTCCATGTCACAGTCCTCAGTGTGACAGTCCTCAGTGTGACAGACCTCAGTGTCACAGTCCTCAGTGTGACAGTCCTCAGTGTGACAGACCTCAGTGTGACAGACCTCAGTGTGACAGTCCTCAGTGTGACAGACCTCAGTGTGACAGACCTCAGTGTGACAGTCCTCAGTGTGACAGACCTCAGTGTGACAGTCCTCAGTGCGACAGACCTCAGTGTGACAGACCTCAGTGTGACAGTCCTCAGTGTGACAGACCTCAGTGTGACAGACCTCAGTGTGACAGTCCTCAGTGTGACAGACCTCAGTGTGACAGACCTCAGTGTCACAGTCCTCAGTGTGACAGACCTCAGTGTGACAGACCTCAGTGTCACAGACCTGTCCTCAGTGTGACAGACCTCAGTGTGACAGTCCTCAGTGTGACAGTCCTCAGTGTGACAGACCTGTCTTCAGTGTGACAGACCTCAGTGTGACAGTCCTCAGTGTGACAGACCTCAGTGTGACAGTCCTCAGTGTGACAGACCTCAGTGTGAAAGATCTCAGTGTGACAGTCCTCAGTGTGACAGACCTCCATGTCACAGTCCTCAGTGTGACAGTCTTCAGTGTGACAGACCTCAGTGTCACAGTCCTCAGTGTGACAGTCCTCAGTGTGACAGACCTCAGTGTGACAGACCTCAGTGTGACAGTCCTCAGTGTGACAGACCTCAGTGTGACAGACCTCAGTGTGACAGTCCTCAGTGTGACAGACCTCAGTGTGACAGTCCTCAGTGCGACAGACCTCAGTGTGACAGACCTCAGTGTGACAGTCCTCAGTGTGACAGACCTCAGTGTGACAGACCTCAGTGTCACAGTCCTCAGTGTGAAAGATCTCAGTGTGACAGACCTCAGTGTCACAGTCCTCAGTGTGACAGACCTCAGTGTGACAGACCTGTCCTCAGTGTGACAGACCTCAGTGTGACAGTCCTCAGTGTGACAGACCTCAGTGTGAGAGTCCTCAGTGTGACAGACCTCAGTGTGACAGACCTCAGTGTGACAGACCTCAGTGTGAGAGTCCTCAGTGTGACAGACCTCAGTGTCACAGACCTCAGTGTGACAGTCCTCAGTGTGACAGACCTCAGTGTGACAGTCCTCAGTGTGACAGACCTCAGTTTGACAGTCCTCAGTGTGACAGACCTGTCCTCAGTGTGACAGGCCTCAGTGTGACAGTCCTCAGTGTGACAGACCTCCATGTCACAGTCCTCAGTGTGACAGTCCTCAGTGTGACAGACCTCAGTGTGAGAGTCCTCAGTGTGACAGACCTCAGTGTCACAGACCTGTCCTCAGTGTGACAGACCTCAGTGTGACAGTCCTCAGTGTGACAGTCCTAAGTGTGACAGACCTCAGTGTGACAGACCTCAGTGTGACAGTCCTCATTGTGACAGACCTCAGTGTGACAGACCTCAGTGTGACAGTCCTCAGTGTGACAGACCTCAGTGTGACAGTCCTCAGTGTGACAGACCTCACTGTGACAGTCCTCAGTGTGACAGACCTGTCCTCAGTGTGACAGGCCTCAGTGTGACAGTCCTCAGTGTGACAGACCTCAGTGTGACAGACCTCAGTGTCACAGACCTCAGTGTCACAGTTCTCAGTGTGACAGACCTCAGTGCGACAGATTTCAGTGCGACAGACCTCAGTGTGACAGTCCTCAGTGTGACAGACCTCAGTGTGACAGACCTCAGTGTGACAGACCTCAGTGTGACAGTCCTCAGTGTGACAGTCCTGTCCTCAGTGTGACAGTCCTCAGTGTGACAGACCTCAGTGTGACAGTCCTCAGTCTGACAGTCCTCAGTGTGACAGACCTCCATGTCACAGTCCTCAGTGTGACAGTCCTCAGTGTGACAGACCTCAGTGTGACAGTCCTCAGTGTGACAGTCCTCAGTGTGACAGACCTCAGTGTGACAGACCTCAGTGTGACAGTCCTCAGTGTGACAGACCTCAGTGTGACAGTCCTCAGTGCGACAGACCTCAGTGTGACAGACCTCAGTGTGACAGTCCTCAGTGTGACAGACCTCAGTGTGACAGACCTCAGTGTGACAGTCCTCAGTGTGACAGACCTCAGTGTGACAGACCTCAGTGTCACAGTTCTCAGTGTGACAGACCTCAGTGTGACAGACCTCAGTGTGACAGTCCTCAGTGTGACAGACCTCAGTGTGACAGTCCTCAGTGTGACAGTCCTCAGTGTGACAGTCCTCAGTGTGACAGTCCTCAGTGTGACAGACCTGTCCTCAGTGTGACAGACCTCAGTGTGACAGTCCTCAGTGTGACAGACCTCAGTGTGACAGACCTCAGTGTGACAGACCTCAGTGTGACAGTCCTCAGTGTGACAGTCCTGTCCTCAGTGTGACAGACCTCAGTGTGACAGACCTCAGTGTGACAGACCTCCATGTCACAGTCCTCAGTGTGACAGTCCTCAGTGTGACAGACCTCAGTGTGACAGTCCTCAGTGTGACAGTCCTCAGTGTGACAGACCTCAGTGTGACAGACCTCAGTGTGACAGTCCTCAGTGTGACAGACCTCAGTGTGACAGTCCTCAGTGCGACAGACCTCAGTGTGACAGACCTCAGTGTGACAGTCCTCAGTGTGACAGACCTCAGTGTGACAGACCTCAGTGTGACAGTCCTCAGTGTGACAGTCCTCAGTGTGACAGACCTGTCCTCAGTGTGACAGACCTCAGTGTGACAGTCCTCAGTGTGACAGTCCTCAGTGTGACAGTCCTCAGTGTGACAGACCTGTCCTCAGTGTGACAGACCTCAGTGTGACGGATCTCAGTGTGACAGACCTCAGTGTGACAGACCTCAGTGTCACAGTCCTCAGTGTGACAGACCTCAGTGTGACAGTCCTCAGTGTGACAGACCTCAGTGTGACAGACCTCAGTGTGACAGTCCTCAGTGTGACAGTCCTCAGTGTGACAGACCTGTCCTCAGTGTGACAGACCTCAGTGTGACAGTCCTCAGTGTGACAGACCTCAGTGTGACGGATCTCAGTGTGACAGTCCTCAGTGTGACAGACCTCAGTGTCACAGTTCTCAGTGTGACAGACCTCAGTGTGACAGACCTCAGTGTGACAGTCCTCAGTGTGACAGACCTCAGTGTGACAGTCCTCAGTGTGACAGTCCTCAGTGTGACAGTCCTCAGTGTGACAGACCTGTCCTCAGTGTGACAGACCTCAGTGTGACAGTCCTCAGTGTGACAGACCTCAGTGTGACGGATCTCAGTGTGACAGACCTCAGTGTGACAGACCTCAGTGTCACAGTCCTCAGTGTGAGAGTCCTCAGTGTGACAGACCTCAGTGTGACAGTCCTCAGTGTGACAGACCTCAGTGTAAGAGTCCTCAGTGTGACAGACCTCAGTGTGACAGACCTCAGTGTGACAGACCTCAGTGTGAGAGTCCTCAGTGTGACAGACCTCAGTGTGACAGACCTCAGTGTGACAGTCCTCAGTGTGACAGACCTGTCCTCAGTGTGACAGGCCTCAGTGTGACAGTCCTCAGTGTGACAGACCTCCATGTCACAGTCCTCAGTGTGACAGTCCTCAGTGTGACAGACCTCAGTGTCACAGTCCTCAGTGTGACAGACCTCAGTGTGACAGACCTCAGTGTGACAGACCTCAGTGTGACAGTCCTCAGTGTGACAGATCTCTCCTAAACAGGTGTTGACTGAGTTTATCCCAGGTCTGCTTTGGCTATTTGTGGGGAAAAGCAATAGGAAGACTCCTAAGCACATCACCCCAGATAGAGAAACTGTAACTGTCATCTGTCCCTGTTATGGTACTTTCAGGATTTATTTATTTATTATTATTATTATTATTTTCAGACAGGGTTTCTCTGCGTCGTTCTGGCTGTCCTGGATCTCGATCTGTAGACCAGGCTGGTCTTGAACTCAGAAATCCCCCTGCCTCTGCCTCCCGAGTGCTGGGATTAAAGGTGTGCATCACCACTGTCGCTGGGTTTCTTTATTTTTATTTTATGCACATTAGTGTTTGCCTGCAAGTGTGTATGTGTGTGCGCCCCACGTGTGTGCAGTGCCCACAGAGGCCAGAGGAGGACATCGGGTCCCTGAAAGTGAAGTTATGATGGCTGTGAGCTGCTTGGTGCTGGGAACTGAACCTGGGTCTCTATTCATGCTTCTGTGCTACACGGGTTGGATTTCCCTAGTTTGAAGTATTCCAAAGTCTCAAATTTTTGAGCACTGTCACGGAGCTCCCAAATAAAAAATTCCATGGTACAGATCACAGTCAAAACCCAGGACCCCTAAAAATGATGTATAAAATTATCTTTAGGCTAAATGCAGAGGAAATAAAAGTGAATTTAGCATTTAGACTTAGGTCTCATCCTCAGGAAACTGTATATATTATGTGTATGCAAATATTCCAAAATAAATAAATAAGTAAATAAACAAAACTCCTCAAATCCGGAACCCTTCTAGTCCCAGGCGTTCTAGATAAGGAAACTCAACCTGTACCTGTCCCCCACAGAGGGATATGATAAATTACCACTAATAATGTAGCTTTATTCTTCCTGGTGGGAACAGTTAATTCCTTGGCTTAAAGAAACTACTGTAAGTCAGAATATGAAAAAAAAATGCACTCGGGAGGCAGAGCCAGGAACATCTCTGTGAGTTCAAGGCCAGCCTGGTCTACAAATCGAGTTCCAGGACAGGCACCAAAGCTACACAGAGAAACCCTGTCCCGAAAAAAAAAAAAAAAAAAAAAACCCAAACAAACAGAAGAATGTATAAGACCAAAAAGTCTTGAAAGAAAAGAAAAATGTAATTTGTGAAGAAAGGAACAAGAACGAAGAGAGGTGAACACAGAGAAGGAGAAGACCCTGGGGGAAATATTTAAACATAAAACACGTCACCAAATTTCCTGTACCAAATGGACGGGCGTGTTGGGCAGGGTCTCATAAGCAACAGCTCTGGAGGTCGCCTCCGTTGATCCTAAGCCTGAAGCTTCACAGCGTATCTAAGGTAAGAGGCTGCCACACTGGGCATGGATGCTCATGTTGATATGGGGGACCCCCGACCTGGTGACAACCCGAGCCCCCTGTGCGTGAGAACTGGGGGGCACAGATAATAGCCGTCTCAATAGAGGATGTAACGGCTCCATTCCAGTCAAAGGTGTTGAAATGATCTCCCTGGTAGTAACTGAGGGGTTGAGATGGAGCAACCCTTACCTAGTCTAGCCCCAGGTAAGGTCCATGGTGGAAAGGCTATGGGTGTAGCTAAGAGGTGGAACATGTGCTTAGCACTGTTAACAGTTCCTGGGTCGGATTTCTAGCACACACAACAAAATTCTACTGTGAAAGTCAGCCCAGATTCATTATTTTAATTTATTTTTATTTTATGTGTATAACTGTTTTGTCTACATATGAGCCTGTGTGTCATGTGTGTGCTGTTCTGGCAGAGGCAAGAAGAGGGTGTAAGGTCCCCTGGAACTGGAGTTAGGGCAGTGAACCGCCAAGTAGGTGTGCTGGGAACTGAACCTGGGCCCTCTGCAAGAACAGCCTGTGTTCTTAACCACTGAGCCATCTTTCTAGCCCGGAGCCCAGCTTTCTCAGCATGGCACAAAATACACTCAGTGAGGGCCACCCATCCTGTCCCTCTACCAGATGTCCAATTATACCTTATGTCACAAATGAAGTTAAAAGCCAAAACCCTGTTTATTTATGATGCCAGGTTATGTATATAAAAACGCAGAGTGTGGCTAACTGTTTCAGACAGACTGTTTGCACATACAGTCATCAAACTTAAACGTAACACCCAGAGTTTATATTGAGGTAGCAGAATATTCACAAATACCCCAGAAATGTCAAAAATGATATTTTTGAAATTATTTCAAATAAAACCCTGTTAAAATTATTGTTGTTGTTATTATTGGAGTGCTGGGGACTGAAGCAGGTCTCTGTGTAAAGCTCTACCATTGAGCTTTACCCCTAGCCAAAAAAAATTGTCATCAAATATATTTCTCCAAATGAGGCTACTTAGAGTGAGTCCTAGAGTGACAGGGTCATGGGTCAGCTTGCTTAAGATGCTGTCGATTTGGCCGGGCAGTGGTGGCGCACGCCTTTAATCCCAGCACTCGGGAGGCAGAGCCAGGCGGATCTCTGTGAGTTCGAGGCCAGCCTGGGCTACCAAGTGAGTCCCAGGAAAGGCGCAAAGCTACACAGAGAAACCCTGTCTCGAAAAACAAAACAAAAAAAAAAAAAAAAAAACAAAAAAAAAAAGATGCTGTCAATTTAGGTCAGGGGTCAGGGCATGATCATCATCAGCCCTGCCCTTTTCTGGAAGGACACTGGTTTGGATGATAATTTATCTATTGCCAGACAGAGACAGCTAGCTTTGGAATCTTAGAAAAGGAAGTGGGTTTTGCTTGTTTGTTTTGTTTTGTTTTTCTGGTAGTGCTGGGGATGGAACCCAGGCCTCATTCACGCTAAGTAGGCATTCTACCACTTAGGTACATCCTTAGCCTGATCTCACTTGCTACAGAATGACAACACTCATCCAGAGTGTAACTGTCTCATCAGGAACAGGAGGGTGCCTGCCTATCTGTAGATCAAAGACTTGTCTCCTCTCAAGAGATACAACCGTGCCACTTCCAGAACTAAGGATAATAAAGCCTTTTCATATCTTAGAATATATTTCCATACTAGAGCAGCCAAGGGGAACAAAACAAAAGGAAAAAACCCTATCACACACACTTACACACAAGTCGGCATACATGTGCTGGAGGGGATGCGGGGGAGGGGGAGGGGGAGCGCGCATGTTGTTATGTAACTATGCCAGGATACAGTCTGCCAGTGCACCCGAATTAAGAATAACAGCGTCTTACCTGAAGTTCCTGGGGAGCAGTTTGAATGGACAGAAAAACAAACAAAAGGTCTATTTAAAATGATTGTATAAAACACTCCAGCACATTTTAGTTTTCACACAGCAACAATAGTGTTCACAGCACATTCTTCAGTAGACACAACTTAAAAAAAAAATGGAGGGAAGTATGTACAAACTCCAGTGAGAAAGTCAACATTCAGCACTAGAGTTTCCACACATCTTCCTGGAAGATGACGAGGCTGGAGCGACATCGTGAGCCCCACTTTCAGAAACAGCCCCCCACTTCAATGACAATGTTGTCCTCTTTAATACCTGTTTATTTAGAATGCCTGAATACTTGCTGATGGGAAATTGCTTAAATGTCATGGGAGAGAGGAGAGGGTCGGAAAGGGGCGCCAGCTGACCCCACTCACTAAAAGTGTTGCGGTTATGATCTCTCTACCTCAGATGTGAAATTAGTAGCGCAGAGAAAGCACCTTTCAAAGATTCCACCAACTTTGAGGGCAAGAGCCCTTAGGAAGTCTTTATTCAGGTCCCAGAGCTATTAATGGCAAGGGATAGACAACAACAACAACAACAAAAAACACAACTTGGGTTTTTGTTGTTGTTTGTTTTGGAAACCCTGTTTTGATGAAGAAGCCAGAATATGCTTACATTACCCTTATTATCACTAGCGATTTGCCACTGGTGGGCTTGTCCGGCCGACTGGTGCGGAGAACACCAGCTGTGTGCCTGACACCACTCCACACTCTGTGCCCGCCATCTGACTCCTCACGCTGGCTCCACAGGCAGGTTTCATTGTACCCATTGGACCAAGGGGCAGACCTAACATTCAAGATGACGCTCGGATGCTTCCATGGTACTGTGCTGCCCACATCACATTTTACTTTAATTTTAGTTCGGAAACTGCAAAACATTCTCAGGGGTTTATCTCTTTGTTTTGGAGACTGGGGTTCCCTGTGTTGACCAAGCTGACTTTGAGCTCCTGGGCTCAAGAGTACCTCCAAGTACCTGGAACTACAGATGTGCACCACTTTGTTTGGATACGTTTTTCTTATTCTCTGAAGCTCCTTACACGAATATTAATCTTTAGAAATATCTATTCCATTTTATGTGTATGGAGTGTTTTGCCTGCATGTATGTATGTGCACCATGCCCGTGCAGTGCCTGCAGAGGCCAGAAGAGGGCGCAGGATTCCCCCTGGGATTGGTGTTACAGATGGTTGTGGGCTGCCCGGTAGGTGATGGGAACTGAACTTGGGTCCTCTAAAGAGCAGCCTGTACTATTAACTGCTGAGGCCTCTAACATCTTAATGTTAGATGACAAAATAACAAATGTGATTTCCGTTGTCAGTTGCTGTTGGCTAGGACAACAGAGACAATGACAGATGAGGTCTGGTATTCATTATTTACTGTTCTCGGAAAACATTAGGTTTTTCTGTTTGTCTTTCTCAGGGCTGGGATGGAACCCAGGGAGTCAAGCCTATCAGACTGTTAGACAAGTGTTCCGCCACTGAGCCAGCAGTTCTGGAACTATGTTTTCATTCCCCTGTCCTAGACTGAAACAGGAAAAGGGCGGCTCTCTTGATGTCAGTTTTTCCCCTCCCTAGTTTAACTTCCAGAATTCAGAGGGTGCCAGGCTTGAACCCTAGCCTAAGAACAACTTTCAGTCAGTGGCTGGCTGGGGGAGCCCTTGGCCTTGGCTGATCACTCAGCTCTGGCTCAGACGTTTCAGAAGAACTCAAGACTGAAGTGCTTTGTGTTATCATTTGGAAACAATCTTCATCGCGTTTAGTGAATTCCTTCTTGGTCACTAATTATGGTTATCTGGATCCCCTGCAATCCTCTTAATTGGTCTGAGAACAGTTTAGGATGAAAATTAAGCATTCATTTGAAGCTTGCCTTGCAGTCAGTTCCTCTTTCTTTTCTTTTTTTTCTTCTCCCCCCCACCCCCAAGCTGAGGACGGAACCCAGGGTCTTGCCAAACGCTCTATCACTGAGCTAAATCCCCAAACCCAGTTCCTCTTTCTTTCTTTCTTTCTTTCTTTCTTTCTTTCTTTCTTTCTTTCTTTCTTTCTCTCTCTCTCTCTCTCTCTCTCTCTCTCTCTCT